CCCCTGGCTAGCTGCGTGTCACCCACTTCATCCCAACACAGAGGGGATCTGCACTTGCGGCCATAGAGGGCTTCAAACGGCGCAGCCTTGATGCTGGTATGATAACTGTTGTTGTAGGAAAATTCGACTAAAGGAAGATGAGCGTCCCATGACATACCGAAGTCGATGACACATGCCCTCAACATATCTTCCAATGTCTGGATCGTCCTCTCACTCTGACCGTCTGTTTGAGGATGATAAGCTGTGCTCATATCCAACTTAGTTCCAAGCGCCTTCTGAAGTGATTGCCAGAACCTTGAGGTGAACCTGCTATCTCGGTCGGAGATAATGGATACAGGTACCCCGTGAAGGCGAACTATCTCTCGAATGTAGATATGCGTGAGTCTCTCCATTTTGAAGTTTTCTTTGATTGGCAGAAAGTGGGTGGATTTTGTCAACCGATCGACAATTACCCAGATGACGTCGTGCCCACTCGGGGATCTAGGTAACTTAGTGATAAAATCCATTGTTATCATTTCCCACTTCCACTCAGGTATTTTTGGTTGCTGAAGTAAACCTGAGGGCTTCTGATACTCCACCTTCACCTTGGCGCAAGTCAAGCACTTGCCCACGAAGGTTGCAATTTCTGCTTTCATGTTCGGCCACCAATAAAGCTGCTTGATGTCCAGATACATCTTATCGGATCCTGGGTGAATGGAGTATTTCTGTGAGCCTCATTCATGACAACCTCTCTGTACCCGCCAAACTTTGGGGTCCAGATCCGGTTCATGAAATAGTACGCTCCGTCTCCCTTAACCTCTAAGTTCTTGTCCATTCCCCGCAATGCTTCATCCGCCACTTTCTCTGGTTTCAAGGCTTCCAGCTGAGCCTCCTTGATTTGCACGGATAAATGGGAATGGATAGTCATGGTCAGTGCCTTCACTCTACGACATGAGTACTCTTTTCGGCTGAGGGCATCTGCCACCACATTGGCCTTGCCGGGATGGTAGCGGATTTCGCACTCGTAGTCACTGAGTAGCTCTACCCATCGTCGCTGTCTCATGTTTAACTCTTTCTGATCAAGGATGTGCTGCAAGCTCTTATGGTCGGTAAAGATAGTGCACTTGGTTCCATAGAGATAGTGTCTCTAGATTTTCAATGCAAAGACCACTGCTCCCAACTCTAGATCGTGAGTTGTGTAATTGACCTCGTGTGTTTTCAACTGCCTCGAGGCATAGGCGATGACCTTTCCTCGCTGCATAAGCACACAGCCTAGTCCCTGATTGGATGCATCACAATAGACCACGAAGTCTTCCGTCCCTTCGGGCAAGGACAAGATAGGTGCGCTGCACAGGGCCTGCTTCAATGTTTGAAATGCAGTGTCTTACTTGACTCCCCAACTAAAGGTTACACCTTTCTGTGTCAGGGTAGTTAAGAGCTTAGCGATTCTGGAGAAGTTCTGGATGAACCTGCGATAATAGCCCGCGAGGCCCAAGAATTGCCGGATTTCGGTGGGTGTATTAGGTGCAGACCAATTCTCTATCGCTTTGATTTTGGAAGGGTCTACGTGTATACCTTCCTTGCTAACCACGTGCCCAAGGAAGTTCACCTTCCTGATCCAGAACTCACACTTTGAAAATTTTGCATATAGCTTCTCTGCTCTTAAAGTTCCCAATACCTGCCTCAAGTGTTGTTTATGATCGTTCTCATTTCAAGAGTAGACAAGTATATCGTCGATGAACACGATCACGAACTTGTCCAGGAAAGGGCGGCACACCCGGTTCATCAGATCCATGAATGCTGCCGGTGCGTTGGTCAGACCAAAGGGCATTACTACAAATTCGTAGTGTCTATAGCGAGTTCGGAATGTTGTCTTGGGCACATCATTCTCGTGGACTCACAACTGATGGTACCCTGATCTTAGATCGATCTTGGAGAAATAACTGGCTCCCTGAAGTTGGTCGAAGAGATCGTCGATTTTAGGTAAGGGATATCGGTTCTTGATGGTCAGCTTGTTCAGTTCTCGGTAGTCAATGCACATCCGAAAGGATCCATCTTTCTTTTTCACGAATAAGATCGGAGCTCCCCAGGGTGAGGAACTCGGCCTTATGAACCCTTTGCTGATCAACTCATTGAGTTGGCTGGATAACTCTTGCATTTCTGCCGATGCTAAACGATAAGGAGATTTAGCTACAGGAGTCGCTCCAGGGATTAAGTCGATACGAAACTCGACTTGACGCTCGGGAGGAATTCCTGGGAGGTCTTCAGGGAAGACATCAGGAAAGTTGCAGACTTCGGGGATGCTCTCGAGGTCTTTAACTTTTTGCGTCTCATCAACAACATGAGCTAGAACGCATGGCATTCCTTCCGGTACTTCTAAGCTTTGATGCACGAGATGATACGGAGGTTCGAAAGCTGAAGCTTATCCGTAATCATGAGGGTTTCACCAGAGATTGAGACGGATGGCTTTCTCGAAACAAAAAATATCAGCACGATTGAAACTCAACCAATCCATGCCGATAATGACATCGAAACTCTTAATGGATACTGGCATAAGATCGATGGGAAAGGAGTAATTGTCTAGGGTAAGAGTACAGCCTATGAATATGTCGTTAGCGCTCTCTTTCTTTCCGTTAGCCATTTCGACGGTGAACGTTTCGGTTAAAGGTTGGGATTTACATTTGATTAGATGCTTGAATGCATGACTAACAAAACTCCTCTCCGCACCAGAATCGAAAAGAATGCATGCATAAGAGTTGTCAAGGAGGAACGTACCCGTAACAACGGTAGGATCAGCGACCGCTTCATTCTGGCCCATCGCCAAAACTCTCCCTGTATTGCCACCAGTTGTTGCCTTGGGGCAGTTTCTCCTAAATGCCCAACCTCTCCACATCCATAACAAGCTTGACCCCACCTGCTCCCGCAGTCTGGTTGGTTGGGTTGGCACCTTGCAGTATCGAGCTGTGTGACCCTTCTTCCCACAGCTGTTGCAACTCAACTCACGGCAGGGTCCGTGATGATGGAAGTTACACTTGTTGCACAAAGGTAGTTTCCCAGCATAAACACCGGTAGGAGCTTGGGTGGTTGGAACAGTAGCTGGGGGCAGCAGCAGCAGAGCAGTAACAGCATGAACTGCCACTGTTTGTTGTTTCTTGGAGGGCTCCTGCGAAGACTGACCCTTCGCTTATTCCATGATTTCTTCTTCTTCCACCACTTTCCTTCTGTGGCTCGGAAACAACTGCCACACTCATCATCTAGGTCAACCCCATTATCGATCAGAACCTGCGCCAGATCCTGGCGCTCTCAAATGTAGTCGGTCTAGCAGCCAAACATTTCCTTTGGTTGGTTGGTCAGTCCCCAAGATGTACCTCTCGATTTTTCTTGCTTTCCGGGGTGACCATTCCCGGACAGAGAAGTGCCAGATCACAGAATCTAGCCGTGTAGGCAGCAATGTCTGAACCCCTCATCTTCAAGTTCCAAAGTTCGTGCTCCAACTTTTGCACTTCGCCCCTCGGGCAGTATTCAGCCAGCATGAGTTCCTTCAGTCTTTCCCAACCCATGGCATTAGCCACTGGCAGGGTTAGGGTTTTGACTCGACCATTCCACCAGGTCAAGGCTCTGTCGGTGAAGGTGCAGGCGGCGAATTTCACCTTGTTGGCTTCGGAACAGGCGCAAATTTCGAAGATGGACTCGATCTTCTCGAACCGTCGAGTCAAAGCGATGACTCCTCCGTTTCCGTCGAAGGACTTGGGTTTCGCGGTCATGAAGTCCTTGTAGGAACACTCCTTTTGTTCCCTGACTTCCGTCTTGTCTTTGTGGGTCGGTTCCACCTCCAGCGCCACCAGAGTTCACTTGTGCCATTGCTGCGGTTACAGCGGCTGTAACTGCTGCCTGGAACATGACGGGGTCGAACTGGGGTGGTGGTGGTGGCGGAGTGTCGTTCCTTCGGTTGGGTCTTGGGCGAGGAGGCATCTTCTTCTAGAAACAATCAGGAAGAAGAGGATGGTAAGTCCTCAAGATATATGAAACAAAATATATCTCATCCTGATAACACGTTGTCTACCAAGCGATAAGCAAAAGGTTACTAATGTAACTAAGTTATCGCTACGAATAGATAGGTAGTAACACTAAGAATGAATCTCCTCACTGAATTTGGCTCTAGCGAAATACTCCTATAGTATTTTCTAGTGAATGTTTTCGGTAAGTTTTAAGCCTGCTGTAACACCACGTCACTCTCAAGCACATATTGGTCATGTTTTGACTGAATATAGTTGATCAGGCTATATTCACCCGAAACATGATTACATAACTGCCCAGGTTTGACCGCAGTGCCCAACATCCAAATACTTTTTGTGTTGATCTACTAATGACACGGATTTTGTTATGTATGCATGCTCGTATACTTTTTATAAAAATACTTATATTTTGAAAGTATACTTTTAGTGTAGAGCACTTAGGCCCCTTTAGTGTTTATAGTTGTATACCACGTAAGGTTCGGTATACTAGTTCGCTATAAACAAGGGCTCTGATACCAATCTGTCACACCCCGAAACCGATGGCGGAAATGTTCTGGGGCGGAGGACGTCATGTATAGCATCACAACCAATGTATAATACAAAATCATAGCAACACAACCATCACAGTGTATACATATATAAAATGTTTACATCGTTTGAAAACTTGTTTGAATTACATCGGAGAGTATATATATAATATAAACATAAGACTCTTATTGCTCCAGCTTCTCAAAATCCAGCAAGTACCTGTCTACTGATTTCCTAAGAATACAAGCAGTTTTGAAATATATCAGCATAAAGCTGGTGAGTTCATAAGCGGTAGTTTGTAATGAAAACTTGTTGATGAGCTCGTAAAAAAAAGTATTTTGTATAGCGTCAAGAAAATCCGATATTTTCTTTAGTGAAAATGTAGCGTTATCCGTTCCATATAAACCATGAATGTCGTTACTGAAAACTGTAGTGATATGTGAAAATACTACTTCATGTGACTAGCTAAGGCTAATCATGAAGTATAAGTATATTGTATATGAAATCCTTGCATAACGTTTGGTTGAAAACCTTGGCTTCAGCCTTTATACATAGTGTGTAGTTCTATTTAGTATAAATAAAACCGTTGAAGAGTGTCAGATTGTAAACTAAAGGTGATTTATACATAATGTGAGTCGTATAACCATGCTTGATATGACTAGAGACCTTTCCAACGTTCTTCAGACGTCGAGTTAAATGACATTTGTCACCCTGGGCATGCCTGCCCAACTGTAGCTAGCAGTTCGGGTGTGGGATTGCCAATCCCGAATAGATCTATTCACAAATCTCACGCTCTCCCTCCAGGAGACTCTGGTTATACTTATGATAGGATTTATCCCTGTACACCTAAGGGTACAGTAGTGAAGTAGCGCCTCACAGTATCGTACAATCTAGTTTACATGTAGTGTCCTAGCGTTTTATCGTAGCGAAAACCCGTATGTATACCATATGTAGTGAAAATTACAGTTATGAATACCATGATAAAGTAGTGATGTAACTGTAAACTATCCCTGTCTTAGAGCATATGTTTAGTAGTGAAAATTCATGTACTTGTTATATTTAAAAATCCCAAACTATACCGTAGGTTTCTTATGAAGCCTACGGTTTTACTATTTTTTTTTTGGTTTTTTTTAAAGTTATTCCTTTGTACAAAAACTATTCCTAATCAAGAATACGGTAAAATTTCAATAAAAAATAGATGTACTTCGCTGTTCTTCGGGTGCTCCATTAAGAGAAAATAGTAGAAAAACCAAGAAAAAAGTAGTAAAAATGACCTAATCTGAAAATGTATACATGATATATTATGGGCCAATGATCCCCAAAAGAGTAGACGGGTCGGCAAACAGTAGCCCATAGTCCTAAAACCGTAGACTTCACCCCGTTGACCGTAGCCAACGCTAGTCACCTACTCTTTCAGGGGCTATTTTTGGCTAAAATCTTTTTTTTTGGCTATTTTTAAATAGGCAATTAGGAAAAATGACTAGATTAGTAATTCTCTTTTTGAAATATCATGTGGAAAATAAGTAAATTTTTTTTCTAAAAGTACTCTATACATATATAAAAAAACATATTATATATTTTAATTGGTTTATTCTTAGCTTATACATTAGTTGAAAAAATAAAAATAAAAAATAAAAAAATAATGTAAAAGTAAAAAGTGTAAACAAATTTTTTTGTTTAAATCCCATTTTTCAAGTCCTAAATTGGGTTTTATTTATTTATTTAATAATTAACCTTTAAACATACACCTATTAATTCACATTTCTATTTTGAGTAAATTACACGAATGGTCTTTATGGTTTAGGGTAATTTGCGTGTTTGGTCTCTAACTTATTTTTTTAACTCGGAAGGTCTCTACTGTTTATTTTTTTAACTTATTTGCGTATTTACCCTAAACCAAGCGTGTAACAAAAAATAAATAGTACAGACCTTCCGAGTTAAGAAAATAAGTTAGAGACCAAACACACAAATTACCTCAAACCATAGGGACCATTCGTGTAATTTACTTTTTATTTTTATTTTTTATTTTATTGTACTGTATACATATTTAAAAAAACATATTATATATTTTGATTGGTTTATTCTTAGCTTATAAATAATTTTAAAAAATAAAATTAAAAATAAAGTAAAAAACAAAAAATGCAAAGAAATTTGTTTTGTTCAAATCCCATTTTTGAAGTCCTAAATTGATGTTTTTTTAATAATTAACCTTTAATCATACACCTATTAATTCCTACTTCTAATTAATTAATTCATTATTTATTTATTTATTAATATTATTATTATTATCATTATTATTTATTATTATTATTAGAAGAAGAAGTGATCCCTCAGCCATTAAGAAATATACCTTTTCAATAATTTCATGTAATTCGTAAATTGAGTGCAACAAGATAACAGATAAGTTCGTACTTGACGCGCGATTCTTGACGTCTTATCCGACATATAAATAGCACCAAACGTGGACTTGGACAATAATTTCATCATCTTCTGTAATAACTTAAAACCCTAGATATACCTATTGTCAGGTACTTTCTTTTCTAATCTGGAATTTTTATACTTTAATGTTCGTTGCTTAATCAAGATCATAGTATAATTGATCTTCCAGGTAGGGTTTACAATGATCTTGGTTTTGATATTATGATCTTCCAGCTAGGGTTTACAACGATCTAGAATTGCTTTACCATGGGTTTTGGTATAAACGATAAAACAGAGCAAAAAATAATAATTTGTAGATCAATTTTGTTAATCGAGCTTGTCAGTATTTATTCAGCATCAGATCTTTGATTTTATTTGCATCTGTTTATTACAAGAACATATTTATCAAGTCTTTTCTAACTGAGTTTGAAATTCTAAATATATGTAGATATTAGCTTTTTATACGATGGGGGGAAGTTCAATTTCAATCGATGACGATTGGGAATTCGCTGCTCCTTTGAATGGGCTTCGAACTCTGGTTTTGGTTGGAAGGACAGGGAATGGAAAAAGCGCAACTGGCAATAGCATCCTTGGGAAGAAGGAGTTCCTATCAAGGGCAAGCTCAGCTGGTGTAACCAGTACTTCTGAGCTCAGAACTACTGTACTCAAAGATGGCCAGATGCTTAATGTCATCGATACTCCTGGTATTTATTGATAGAATCTTATGCTGGTTTTTATCTTGATATAATCAGTTGTGCGTGTAATGTGTTTACTTATGTACTCCTAATCCCTATCTCCATTACAGGACTCTTTGATTCTTCTGTTGATACTGAATTTATTGGGATGGAGATTGTTAAATGTATCAATATGGCTAGGGAGGGTATACATGCTGTTCTTGTTGTCCTCTCAGTTAGGAATCGGTTTTCAAAAGAAGAAGAAGCTGCAATTAATAGCTTGAGGATTTTGTTTGGTAACAAAATCAATGATTATATGATAGTGGTTTTTACTGGTGGTGATGAACTTGAAGAAAATGAACAGACTCTGGAAGATTTCTTAAAAGACTGTCCTCTACCTTTAAAGGTGATTACATGCAAATTGTTTGCTATTTTCATATTTGTTTTTGGCTTATCTGACAAAGCTTTCTTATGTGTAACCTTTTTGTGTTTTATTTGAAAATGGAAGATGGTATTTTTCACATGTTTTCCTTTTTAAAACAAAAAGTAGTAGTTATTGTGTCCTTTTATTTTACTTTCTAAATCTTTCTTAGCTAATTATTATTCGACTATTTTGTTCAGGAAACCCTTAGCCTATGTGGCGACAGATGTGTCCTTTTCGATAACAGGACAAAAGATCAAAAGAAGAAAGCAGATCAAGTAAACCAACTTCTCTCTCTAGTCAACATGGTGTTGACCAAGAACAATGGAAAGCCATATACGGATGAGATTTTCAATGAACTGAAGGTGAAACTCATTATTCTTGATTATCATACAACAATTGTTAACTATATATTTGTACATGACAGAGAGGTACTAGGAAGCTTCATGAACAAACAGAAGAAGTTCAATCTTTGCAGGGGTATAGCAAACAGGAAATATCTGAGCTCACAGAGCAGATGCATAAATCATATGAAGAGCAGCTTAAGCGAATCACTGAAATGGTATATTCTTTCTGCTAATTGATTTTTGTTATTAATTTGAAATTGTAAATGTTTTTTTTTTTTTTTTTATTGCTTTAAAGGTTGAGTCGAGGCTGAAGGAAACAACTTCCAGACTTGAACAACAATTGGCAGAAGAACAGGTTGCAAGGTTGAAGGCTGAAGAGTTGGCTTCTGCTGCTCAAATGAAATCAAATGATGAGATCCGAAAGCTTAGAGAGAATCTAGAAAGAGCTCAAAAGGAGACAGAGGAGCTTCGGAAGAGGGCTGAAAGTGGCAAATGTGCTATTTTGTGATTCTGGAAAATGTTTTATATTTTAATTTTAAAAAAATAGAACGGTATTTTAATGGTTGGTTTGTTTCAAAGCACTTGGATTTGGTATTAAGCTATATATTTGTGTATATGTTTAAGATAATATCTGTTTATGTTGAGTTGGTCCATACTGGCCATACGGGTTGCAACTGTTGAGACTCAAACTGTTGTTTGTTTTTGCTACGATACCATCTTGGACTTGATGAGCTTAATGGGTTAAGCTCTTAGTGTAGACAATTATAGGTGACTTTTTGACTTAATATGGAGAGTGACTTAATGAGTAAAGCCAAAAAACTTTGCATAATGTATTACGGCATCAATCATTGACCTATTTACCTTTATACCAATTCCGGTCACATTAAAATTCATAAATGTTATTAAAATTGATTTTAACATCAGTACATGATGCATGTACGCATTGGTCTAGACGTTAATAGCCTGAAGACAATTTTTTTTTTCTGTGTTAAAAATGTGCGTTGTTTAATAGAAGCTAAGAATATTAATATATGTAACCTAACTATTAAAATATATAATTTTAAGTTACAAAGTTAAACACAGAATTAGTTTATAGTTCCACATGGTTTACCAAAATGAGTGGGTTAGTTTTGTGATCATCATACTGAAATTCAATAGTAAAGTAACACTTTTTAAGATCAATAGAACATTTAGATATGCAAAACAAACCACTTTCGACAATTTTGATGGTTATTTGTAATAAAAATTAGAAGTATATCAAGATTGGAAGGCTCATTTTCACTATTTTAGTATTCCATTTTCATCATATAAAATAGGATTAAATGCTTGTTTATGAATAGCGTTTCATGCTTACTACAATTAATTTAACAATGTCGTTTTTTCAGATGAAATATGTAACAATGTTTTATTATTAGGACCAACATATGTATTATTGCAAGTGGGGAACCATATACATCATTACGTGACAACCTTTAGATGCTTATTTAAGCAATTATGTTGCAAGTTGGTCCTAGAATAAAACATTTATGTTGCATATTTCGTCTTAAAAGTCATCTTGTTGCATAAGTCGGAAAAATAATGGTTCGTGGTTTCATAAACAAATATTTAACGCTTTAACAAGCATAAAAAAACAACTTATATATGGGAAAACCAAACATTAATGTTGTATATTTCTTCTTAAAGTCATCTAAGTGATATCACCAACATATATTTTCGAGTGTGATCAAAATGATCCTAAATCGGCGCCAAGCGGTTTGATTTGCTACCAGTCTAATAATTTTGGTGATAAGATGATGTATGCATGGTGAATATGTACCGATCATTTTTTAAACGATAAAAGTAATTTAAATTTAGTAGCTTAATATTATATAACTATAGCACAAACAGCGAAATAATGAGTGTAATTTAACGATATATTGATTTAGAGAAGAAAAAGAAATGATGAAAACTTGTTACTTCATTAATCATGAAATAAATACATAGATACATTTTATACAAGAAGGAAAAGAATACAACTAAGCTAATCTAACTAACTTTCATAACAGAACATAACAAACCACTAATAGCTAACTTAACTAAGTCTTGTTAATGTGGAATCTATGATGTGGCAAGTATAATTAACAATACCCCCTAAGTTGGAGAGCGAGAAACTCCCAACGTGCTAAATAATTGGTATTGGCTTTTGCTAGAAAGAATCTTTGTAAATATGTTAGCTAATTGTAAATTTGTTAGAACATGTTAGAAGTGAGATTAATCTTTCTTGTAATTTCTCTTTAACAAAATGACAGTCAAGCTCTACGTGTTTTGTCCTTTCATGAAAAACAAGGTTTCTAGCAAATGAAAACGGGCTATCACAACGAACATGAATAGGTGTTACATATGGTATAGAAATTCCATGTAATAATCTAGATAACCATGCCAATTTAGCAATGACTCTTATGCATCTGATGAAGACAAGAATACTGTTACTTGCTTTTTTGATTACACAAAATTAGACTTTCTCCGCGCATTATAAAGAAACCACTTATGTTTCTTCTTGAATGAGGGCATGCAACCCAATCAAAATAACAATATGATTGAAGGGTAAAATCATCATTCTTATTGAAAAACAACCCATGATCTAGATTATTGTTAATATAAATAAGAGTATGAAGTGCAACCACCATACGTAGAATACGTGAAATCAAGAAATAAAGAAGAACAACAAAGAAATCCCAAGAACAGTTTGAGAAATTTAAGCTATTGCTTTGATACCATATTGATTTTAGAGAAGAAAGAGAAATGATGATAAGTTGTTACTTCATTAATCATCAAATGAATACAAAGATACATTTTATACAAGAAGGAAACAAATATAGCCAAGATAATGTAACTAATGTAGCACCCGGTTCCTGGTATGAATTTCGTTCAAGTATTATTCATTTTTTTGCCTAGAACTCGGCGAGTTGATGGCCAACTTGACGAGTAGGAGCGACTTGGACCCGAGAGTTTAATGACCTACTCGACGAGTCGCCAGCCAGACTCGACGAGTAGGCCCTGGCAGGACAAAACCCTAATCTAAGGGATTGCACCCTATTTAAGCATCTCATTCAGCCTCCCTTCGTCCCTATTGCTCTCAAAACTCTCCATATCAAACCCTAATCGTTTGTGTAAAGATCTAAGGCCTTTCTGGTGGTTTTTGGTGATTTTGGAACATAAGAAGGAAGAGAAAGGCTTGAGAATCAAGAGGAGGCCAGAGGAGTTCGGGTTTGTGCACCCTCTGGAGTTCTTTAGAGGTATAAAGCTGATACCTTGCCCTTTCATGTTTTAGATCCCTTTTTGGGTGATTTAGGGCTTTTAGGAGCCATTCTTGGTGACCAATCATGAGTGCAAGCATGGTTGGGGGCTAAGACTTCAGATCCAAGGTCTTTAAGGGGTTACAAGGCAGAAAGGGGCTGATTTTGGAGCCTTAGAGAGCCCCATGCACCTTAAGAGTCTCATTTAGGGCCATTTGAGCTCATAGTCCCATGCATGCACGTAAAGTTTGTAACTTTACGTGCTAGATCGATCCTAGAAGTCTAGATATATCTTTTGGTCAAGTGCTGTACGTCAGAAATCGAGAAATAAGACTTGGTCATTCTCGACTCGGCGAGTCGTTCTTGGGACTCGGCGAGTCCATGGCTTGACTTCCCTTTTCTGTTATGGTTCGAAGGAACCCAGTGAGTGTTAGAATGGTCTTAGAGGGGTCCGGGGGAATGACCCAACGCATTGGACTTAGCCATAGTCCTGGGGATCATAGGACTCGGCGAGTGTATGAACAGACTCGGCGAGTCCAAGACAATCTCCCAACATTCGAAGATGAACTCGACGAGTTGTTCATACAACTCGGCGAGTCAAGGGCAGACTTGTTCATAGGATGGGGATGAACTCGACGAGTTGTTCATACAACTCGGCGAGTCGGATGAAGGTTAATTCGAGGATGTTTTAGAAGAAGAACTCGTCGAGTAGGGGCGTGAAGAAGGGCATATGAAAGGATAGGGACTCGACGAGTTGGCGGCCCAACTCGACGAGTCAGGTCAACTGGAAGTTGACTTTGACTTTGACTTGGTCAGGGGTAAAATAGTCATTTTACCCTAAGAGTAGTCATCAATGTCTGATTAAGTGTTTTATGGATTTATAGCCGGAGGATCACCGGAGTAGCAGTCAGACATCTGCCGATCAACTTTTCAGTAGTCAGCCTTGCGAGGTGAGTTACCTTCCAGTAGCGGTGGGTCTACGGCCACAATGCCGGCCCACCAGTAGGAGTTGTATGTTAGATGATTGTCTTTGTGATATTCATCTAGGTTGCTACTACCTGATGTGTTATGTGCTAGTATGATATGATGTTATATGCTAGTAGCAGTAGGGGAGATAGTCCCCAAGATTTACGGTCGATAGGGCCGAAGAGGGTAGTCATACCCAGTCATGCTAGATAGAATATGATTATGTGTTATATGTTATGTGGTAGTAGTAGAGGGGTGAAATAGTCCCCAGTATCCGGTCGAGAGGACCGAAGGGGAGGCCAGCACCCAGATATGCTAGGCAGTATCCGGTCGAGAGGACCGAAGGGGATGCCAGCACCCAGATATGCTAGGCAGTATCCGGTCGAGAGGACCGAAGGGGTAGGTCGGGCACCCATATATGCCTGACAGTATATGTATGTTATATGATTGTATGGTATGCGGTACGATGGGGGAACTCACTAAGCTTCGTGCTTACAATTTTCAGTTTTGTTTCAGGTACCTCTTCAGCAAAGGGGAAGGAGTTGGCGCGGTAGCTGCACATCATACACACACACACGTTGGGTTTCCGCATTACGAGATTCTTGGGATTGTACTCTGACATTGTTATGTTTATGGTTTGGTTTTCAGACATGAGATATTAGTTTTATGAAATGATATGTCTTTACTATGTTTTTCTTATGGAAGTTTTATAAATCAATTAATTAAAAATGAAATTTTTGGACTCGAAATTTGGGTTGTTACAACTAACTTTCATAACAGAAAACATAACAAACCACTAACAACTAATTTAACTAATTTTTGCTTATGTGTCATCTATGACGTGACATGTATGTAACAACCCAAAATTTAGAAATATTTGACTTTTAGTCAAAGATTGACCAAAAGGGCAATTTGGTCATTTATGAGAAAAAGATGAGAATATGAAGTTGTAACTTCATGAAGATGGACAATACAAGTTTAAGTCACTATTAGAGGTTAGATGAGTGATTTCTAGAGAAAGAATGCATGAGAAATGCATTTTTGGCCAAAAAGGTAAAATTGATATTTTATGCTTTTAGGCCATCTTCATGACTTAATAGATTAATATATGTATTAATTCAATGAGATATGACTTAACAAACTTGTAAAGTATGTTCCCAATTTCGTGTGGATATAAAGATAATAAAAAACGGATGAGACACGAAGAAGTTATGCACGTTTGAAGTTGTGACAAAAATGCCCCAAAGCTGTTGCTGATTCCCAGAAGCCACGACGTGCCTAATACTCTCACAACGTGACCAACACTTGTCACAATGTGACAACGCACAGAGACACATTTTTAATCTGTTAAACTTTTGTTTTCGAACCAATTTATCCCAAATCGAACTAGGTCTCTTCTGGGGCGAGTTTAAAGATATACATTGGTTTAGA